TAACCCACTGAGCCACCCAGGCACCCCTGGGTGGCTCAGTGGGTTAAAGCCTCTGCCTTCAGCTCAGGTCATGATCTCAGGGTCCTGGGATTGAGCCCCACATCGGACTCCATGGGATCCGGCTTCCTCCTCTCTCTCTGCCTGCCTCTCTGCCTACTTGTGATCTCTGTCTGTCAAATAAATAAATAAAATCTTTTAAAAAAAGAAGAAATGCACACCCTGAATCATAACATAGTGAAAGCACAGAACATAATGTATTAAATATTACAGTACTGGCCACCACCGGCGGCCACCACCGGCAGCCCCCAGGGTGCCCCATCCCTGAAGGAATTGCTATCAAAAGGTGATGCCAAGAAGACTGAGGAGGAGCTAGAGGAAGCCCTTTTGGAGAGATTGTGGGGACTATCAGAGATGTTCCCAGAAAGTCTCCCATCTGGGGCTGGAGCCCCTTTTGATCTCTCCATCTTTGTGGCTCAGAAACCAAACAGATTTTCCACGGCAGCCCTATGGGTTGGGACCACCTCCATCATGACCCCCGTTCTCCCTCCTGTTCTTGAGACCAAGAAGTTGCAAATGGAGCAGCAGCAGCTACAGCAGTGGCAAATACTTTGTAGGGCCTCACGAAGGGTTCTCAGGAGGCATGCCAAGGGCTTGACCTCCACTTCCTGGAAAGACCTAGATTGTTACTCTGTGACTTATCTTGGTAGGACAAGTTTGAAAATTCAACAGTGTTGGAACTGTTGATTATTTGGAGTCTTCTTCTTCTTTTTTTTTTTGACACTGGCACATTGATCTCTCTACACCCGCCATGGAGAATTCTCCCCAGTATCTCTCAGAGACCCCCAACTTGCAACTGTGCCCTCCACACTGTCCCATTTCTTCTGTCTTCACTCTGATACCAGAGTGCAGCAATGCGGATGGTTACTCCAGCTCTGGCCATCCCACCCTTTTTGCCAAATCCCTCGTGATGGGAAAATCTCCTCACTCTCCCACTGAGGCATAGGGACTGATGCTCCTGGGAAGTATGTGCCCCTGGCCGTTTTTGTGTTTGAGCACAGGAGTTGTTGGGAAGGGTCATACACACGGTATGAAATACGGAAGGCATTATAGCTGTAGTCGGAAGGCAGCTGCTGTGAATTTCTGTGTTGGAAAGGAGGAAAGGCTGGCAGCAGCTTTAACCACAGGGTGGGGACCGTGGAGGACAGAGCAGGAGCTCATTTTCTTGCCCATTTTGGCTACTAGAGACCTGTGTGTGTTTGTGTGTTTGTGTGTGTGTGTGTGTGTGCGTATGTCTAAAACAGAAAAAGGGCTCAATTTTTGTGTTTAAATATTAAAAGTGATTCCAACAGAAAAAATTTAAAAATAAATATTAAAGTGATATACTAGTAAATACTAAATAAGAGAAAGCTCATGTAAGTATATTAATATCAGAGAAAATATTTTAGGGACAAAAAATGAGAGCTAAAAAGATAACTGTATAGGGATGCCTGGGTGGCTCAGTCAGTTAAACATCTGATTCTTGATTTCAATTCAGGTTGTGATTTCAGTGTTGTGAGATCGAGCCCCACATTGAGCTTCACGCTCAGCGGGGAGTCTGCTTGAGATTCTCTCTCTCCCTTGTCTCTCCCACCCCCTGCACATGCACTCTTTCTCTAAAATAAATAAATCTTTTAAAAAAAAAAGAATAGGGGCACCTGGGTGGCTCAGTGGCCTTCGCCTCAGGTCATGGTCTCAGGGTCCTGGAATCGAGCCCCACATTGGGCTCTCTGCTCAGCAGGGAGCCTGCTTCTCCCTCTCTCTCTGCCTGCCTCTCTACCTACTTGTGATCTCTCTCTCTCTGTCAAATAAATAAATAAAATCTTTTTTAAAAAAGATACATTAAAAAAAATAACTGTATAATGATAAAATGTTCAATTTCCAATAAGGTATAACAGTTCTAAACTTTTATAAAAACAATGACATAGCTTTAAAAATGAGCTAAAATGACAAAATCACAAGGAAAATTAGAAAAGCTCACTACCGCATTGGCTCTTTCAACACACATTTCTGTGTTGTGTAGAATAAGCCAGGGAAAATTATTAAGGATATAAAAGGTTTGAGCAACACAATTAAGAAACTTGATCTAAAGAACAGGTGTGGAACTCTGTCTCCAGTAACTAGAGGATATATGGTGTTCTCAAGCATCCGTGGAATGTCTGCAAAAATGGACCCTTACACATTAAATGTTGGAGGTGGGGAGGGATGAATAGGCAGTGCACAGAGGATCTTTAGGGCAGTGAAAATGCTCTCTACAATACTATAACGGTAGATATGTCATCATACATTTGTTCAAACCTATAGAATATTCAACATCAAGAGTGAACTGTGATGTAAACTGAGGACTTCAGGTGACCACGATGACAAGGTGGGTCCATCAATTATAACAAATATTTCGCTTTGGTGGGGAATGTTGATAATGCAGGGGGTGCTATGCATGTGTTGGGGGAGGGGGATATATGGGAAACCTCTATAACCTTCCTCTCAATTTTGCAGTGAACATAACACTGCTATAAAAAATAAAGTTTTGATCAAAAGAAATTAAATTATTCAACCATAAAGCATTAATCAAAGGAGAAATTACAATGAAATTTTTACCAACAAGGGTCCTTGGGGTCTCTGAGCAATAGAAATTTATTAGAGGCCAAAAGGAAGTTCCCGGCAATGCTGTTATGGGGGTTTATGCTCCAGCACCAGGAAGACAGCACAAAGGAAAGTGTTCTTCTGCCCGCTCTCCAAACAAAAGCAGGAGGAAGTTCTTAAAGAAAGGAAAGGAAAGGAGTGATGTCTGAGTGTGCAAGGTGGAGAGAGACACAGGAAGTTGTGTGTGCAGACACAGTGAACAGGACATGCTTCCTTAGGCATTGTATGTCTCATTAATATGAGACACGAGGTTTTAGTATTATAATGAGGGGAAAGGTCAGTGATAGGCCAGCGCTGGGGTCCACCTTAGTACAGACTAGTTTGAACCCTTCCTTTGATAGGCATCCTGCTTTGCATTCTTGCAAGATATGCTAGTCAAGAGGCAGAGGGTTTCCGCTATCAAGGAACACTAGATTTCCTGGTCAGGACTGAGGGGATCCCAGTCCAGTCCCTGCTCTGTCTCAGGATTAGAAAATCTTGATAACCAAAGGTGATGAAAATATGGAAATATTATATAGTATAGCTTGTGGGATGCAAGTAATACATTATTTTTTTAAAAAAAGATTTTATTTATTTATTTCAGAGAGAAACAGTGAGAGAGAACATGAGAGGGGAGAAGGTCAGAGGGAGAAGCAGACTCCCTGTGGAGCTGGGAGCCCAATGTGGGACTCGATCCCAGGACTCTGGGATCATGACCTGAGCTGAAGGCAGTCGCTTAACCAACTGAGCCACCCAGGGGCCCTTAACGCAGTATTTAAAGAAAAATGTATTATCTTAAATATTTCTCATAGAAAAGGCATTCAAAAATTAATGAGCTGAAAAGTTAAAGGCTCAAAATCAATGAGCTAAGCATCCATATCAAAAGGTTTAAAATAAAACAGCAAAATAATCTTCCAAAAAAAGTAAACAGAATGAAAAAATAAAGATAAGAAAAGTTAGGGTGCCTGGGTGGCTCAGTCGTTAAACATCTGCCTTTGGCTCAGGCCATGATCTCAGGGTCCTGGGATTGAACTCTGCATCAGACTCCCTGCTCAGTGGGAAGCCTGCTTCTCCTTCTCCCACTCCCCCTGCTTGTGTTCCCTCTCTTCTGTCTGTCAAATAAATAAATAAAATCTTAAAAAAAAAAAAAGAAAAAAGAAAGAACAATTAATTACTTTTTAACCAACTGAGCCACCCAGGCGTCCCCAATTAATTACTTTTTAAAAAAAAAGGTTTTATTTATTTATTTGACACAGGGAGAGAGAGATCACAAGTAGGCAGAGAGGCAGGCAGAGAGGGAGGAGGAAGCAGGCTCCCCGCCAAGCAGAGAGCCCGATGTGGGACTTGAACCCAGGACCCCGGGATCATGACCCAAGCTGAAGGCAGAGACTTTAACCCACTGAGCCACCCAGGCACCCCAAGAAAGAAAAATTAATTTAAAAGGAGATGAAAGAAAAAAAAAAGGAGAGGAACAAAACCAGAAGTCCATTTTTCAAAAAGATTCATAAAGTTGACAAAATGCTGGTGAAAAGGATCAAGAAACAAAAAGAAAGCATAAGAAACCAACATTATAGGAATAGAAATGAGTTAAGAATTCAAGCCACAGATTGGAAAAGGGTATTTCTCATGCAGTCAATATAAAGAATATATAAAGAAATCCTACACATAGTAAGAAAAAATGGTCAGAAGGAATTCCACAGAAGCACCAAAAATGTTGCACAAGCATTTGAAAAAGTGTCGGACCACGTTAGTGATCAGGGAAATGCATGTAAATAGCCCCAAGATTCACAGAATCAAGCTGTTAGACAATCCCAAGCATATTGAAGCAGTGGGTACTGTAACGTCTGCTGGCTGGCGGGACCTCTGAAGACCACTGGGCATTGTTTAATGACGTTAAAAGTATGCATGCCCAAGACCCAGGGATCCCATTTCTAGGTATGTAGTTCAGAGAAGTCTTGTATAAGAGTGTATTTATAGCAGCATGCTTAGGAATAGAATAATGTGTCAACACCTGGAGATGCTCTTGCAGATAAAATCAGTCCAAAGGGTAAATTAATTTTAGCATACCCACCCAGTGGAATACCACAGAGCAATGAGGACGGACTGCAGCTGCCGGGAACAGCATGAATCCCCCCACTAGAATCTTGAGTAAAAGACACGAGTCACTGGTAGGTTACATGAAGAATTATCGCATTGATCCAAAATTCAAACACAGAGGGGCATCTGGGTGGCACAGTCGGTTACGTGTCCCTCTCTGGGTTTCAGCTCAGGGTGTGAGCTCTGGTGGTGAGATGGAGGCCCTCGTTGGGCTCCATGCTTAGTGTGGAGTCTGCTTGAGACTCTCTCCCTCTGCCCCTGCCCCTACTCTCTCTCTAAAATCAATCAATCAATCAATCAATCTTTTATTTTTTTAAGAAGATTTTATTATTTATTTATTTGTCAAAGAGGGAGAGAGAGAGATAAAGTGTGAGAGTGAGCACAAGCCAGGAGAGAAGCAGATGCCCCACTGAGCAGGGAGCCGGATGCGGGACTCGATCCCAGGACCCTGGGGTCATGATGAAAGCAGATGCTCAACTGACTGAGCCACCCAGGTGCCCCAAACAAACAAATCTTTAAAAAAAAAAATAAAATTCAAGCACAGTTATAAACCCCAGATTAATTAGGGTGTGGTGGTCAGTTTTTTGTGTCAGCTTGACTAAGTAATAGTCGCCAGTTAATCAAACACGAATCTCCCTGGTGCTGTATAGGTATGTTGTCGGTGCGATGACAGTCCACCATCAGCTGACTTCAAATAAGGGAGGTTATTCTAGATAACCTGCGTAGACCTGACAGAATCAGTGGAAAGGACTTTAGAATGAACCAAGGTGTTCCTGAATAAGAAATTTCTCTCTGTGGCCTGCAGCTTCTTCTCCTGCCCCAGAGAGACCTGCCCTTCCTGATGCCCTAGAGATTTCAGATTTGCCTAGCCAGCTCCCCAAACGCATAAGCCAATTGATTGATCTTAATGTATATCTTCTCTATATACATTATATACTTAATGTATATCTCTCTCTCTGCCTGAACAATACAGACAAATACAGACTTTATTTACTGCAAGTGGTTCTAGAGGAACAGAATCTCCTGACTTTTATGAATAGAGGTTCTGTGTTTTCTGGAATGGTTCTCTAGACTGATTAGATTTAAAGGCACTAATGACTCTATTTCAAGTGATAAAGAGGGCACTGGTAGTCCATGGAGTGACATGGCATTAGAGATACCCCAGAAGGTTTTGGGTGACCGTGTATGTGATGTCTTTGCTGAGCTTCCAATTCTCAGCTCAAGGTCCTCAAAAAATGACCTTTGTGTCCCCCGAAAGAGACCCTTCTCTCCTGTTACTTGCAGGGCTGAAATGGCCAAAAACCAAACCCATAATCTCATCCTGTGAGCTGCTCAATTACAATGCACTTTGAATCCCAGCCTGGAAGGAAAGTTAAAGTGAGGGTATGGGAGCTGGCAGAGGGGCAAGGCCCTGGCTCCAGGGGTTCCCAACAGAGTAGTTCAGCCACTGAGAGGCACGTGGTGGTGAGATGGGAAAGGAATTTATTTCAGGAAGGCCAATACGGGAAGACACTGGACTCTGCAGGTGGGTGGTAAAGGTCAGGTCTATCATTGTCTTGGGGTCACTCACATGGGGCTTGCTGGCTCAGGGCCATCCTTATTGCTCGGTAGGTTTGGTCCTCCCTCCCCTCCTCCCTGGGGTGCTTTGCTGATCCCTTTGCTGAGTTTTTTGCCCGAGTTAAGAGATAAGCTGGAAAGAAGGATAAATGAAGATGTGGTCCATATATACAATGGAATATTTTTCAGCCATTAGAAATGAAGAATGCCTACCGTTTGTATCAACATGGGTGGAACTGGAGGGGATTATGCTGAGTGAAGTAAGTCAAGCGGAGAAAGACAATTATCATATGGTTTTACTCATATGTGGAACATAAGAAATAGCACAGAGGATCATAGGGGAAGGGAAGGAAATCCAAAAGGGGAGATATCAGAGAGGGAGATGAACCATGAGAGACTGCGGACCCCGAGAAACAATCTGGGCATTTCAGCAGGGAGGGGGTGGGGAGATGGGGTAACAGGGGGATGGGTATTAAGGAGGGCACGTGTTGTGATGAGCACTGGGTGTTATATGCAACTAATGAATCATTGAACACTGCATCAAAAGCTAATTATGTACTATACGGTGGCTAACTGAACATAATAAAAAAAAGAAGAAGAAGAGTTTAATCAGTGATGAAGTACAAGCTAAGGTCAAAACAGGAAATTGAAGTCCTCTTTCGGGCATTGCCTGGGGCGGAACGGAATCCTTGCTCGCATCCCAGCACCAAGCTTGGCCTCAACTTCTCTCTAAAAGTTGGGATACTCGTTCACTGGCTCTGGAGAAAAGGATCTGTACAATTCAGTCCAAAAGCTGGAGCAGAGGCTGCAAAAGTTATCTTTCAAACTCTTTGAGGTGTTAGTAAGGATCAAGAGGCTCCTTGTCAGCCTCTACTAGATTCCTGTTCTGGTGCTTCCCTCTCTCTCCTCTCCTCTGTGAAGACATATTCCGCCTGAGAACAACGGGCTGTTGAAGGTCAGGCTTTAAAATATCGAAGTCAGGGGTGAGGGGGCGCCTGGGATCGAGGCCCACATCGGGCTCTCTGCTCAGCGGGGAGCCTGCTTCCTCCTCTCTCTCTGACTGCCTCTCTGCCTACTTGTGATCTCTGTCAAATAAATAAATAAAATCTTTAAAATAAAATAAAATATCAAATTCGGAAAAACCACGTGTATCCTTGGAGGAGAATCAAACTTGTGTTTCTGTGTACCTGAGATGATACAAGGGTGCTAATGTCTGAGAAGGAGGTCCATCACGCCACGGGCTGAGAGTCCTACTGACTTTTGAGTCGGGAGAGTAAAAATCCCCACAAGGAGGAAGTGTGTTCACGTGCTCAGGCTGCTGTCCCAGGATTCCACAGACTGGGTGGCTTAAGAAACAACAGAAATTTATTCCTCACATTTCTGGAGGCTGCAAGCCCAAGGTCAAGGCGCCGGCATGATGAGAGCCCTCTTCTGGCACAGAGCCACCCTCCCACTGTGTCCTCACAGGATGGAGGGGAGGAGGGAGTTCTGTGGGGTCTTTTTTATAAGAACCCTAATCCCCAGTCACGAGGCCTCCACCCTGAAGGCCTCACCTGTCTCACACCATCACATCAATCATTAGGATTTCAACACCTTAGTGGGGTGGGGCGCACACAGCCAGACCATAGCTGTAAGTTCTCATCACCTTCCAAAGGTAACTTTCAGGGTGTGTGAAGGTTGGAGGGAGTGACTGGAAACTCCAGTCTCAAATGTCAAATGTCATTGGGGTCAAATGTTTATTTTTGCAGGGAAATGGATGGAATGCATTGAGGTTGCAAAGTTCTCAGAAGTGCAAGAGACAGGCTGCCATGGTTGCCTGTAGACAGGAGCTGGTGAACAGGATGGGGAGGTGAGACCCGTATTTGGAGACCACCCTAAATCTGATCTGCAGATGTCATACTTAGACACTTAGCAAATACGGTCAGCAAGTAACCAGGTCACTCAACAGAGGCCTTAGTTTCCCTCTATGTAAAATGGAGACAGTAAAGAATGCCTGGGTGGCTCAGTTGGTTAAGTGTCTGTCTTCCGTTCAAGTCATGATCCCAGGGTCCTGGGATCGAGTCCTGCATCAGGCTCCCCACTCAGCAGGGAGTCTGCTTCTCCCTCTCCTTCTACCTTCCCCCCAGCTCACGCTCTCTCTCTCTGAATAAAATAAATAAAAATAAAATACAAAATACAAAATAAATAAAATCATTAAAAAAGTGGCTACAGTAAGACCCACGGCCCCAGACTGTAGAAAGGATGACGTGAGACACTCACGTGAGGTTCCTGGTACTTAGTGAGCATTTGTAAACATCAGCTCTTATTGTGTGTAGGCCCATTTTGAATTTGTTCGGACAACTGAACACAGCCTAATTCACCTTGTAACAACTAACACAGGCTATCCTCAGCAGGTGCGGGTCCGTGGAACCAGAATAGCGTCTGTAGCGGACAGAGAAGCCATTCCAGACATCCACAGGGTCTTGGCAGCAATCTGATCTGAAGATGGCCCTCCGCGTGCTGTGCGCCAGCCTCAGCCTTCTCCGCCTGGTGTGGTGTCTCCTGCCGCAGACAGGCTACGTGCACCCAGATGAGTTCTTCCAGTCACCCGAGGTCATGGCAGGTAAGTTCCCTGCATGCGGTTAAGATATGCAGCAGCAAAGTCTGGATGGTTGCTGTCTGGATACTCAGGGGGAGGGAGAATCTATGTCTTTGGGGTTGAGCAGTAAATCCATGAGCCTGTCTGGAATAAGAACTTGCAAGTGGGGATTTCACATCTCCTTCCTGACCAGCGACATTGACCTTCTGGACAGTACTAATGAAATGCCAGCCTCTCTGATGTTTTCCTGCTTGGACCAACAGTACCAATTATTCAGAATGAAAGTTGTTTTGGACTCCTCAGTGGAGAGATTTTAGAGTGGGGCTTCCCGGGTGCTTAGGGAAACTTACACAGGGCTGTGGTCTGAGATACTGAAACTTTTCTTTTCTGGGTTCTTCTGAGGGGTGAGGGAATATGGGCCTGGAATGCTCACTTGTTAGAATTTATCTGCAGAGGGGTGTGGAATATATCAAGAGGATGGCTGACAGGGACTATGAGGCTTTTCAGATGCTGTGGGCACATGGGTTCCTCCTCCACATGGTTCATAGTTTTGAACCTCCACATGGTTCAAAATGGCTGCTTGAGCTCCAGCCATCAAGTCTAAAATCAAGTCTTTCCAGCCACTGGAGAGGAGATGGGCATGCCTGCTCTAAGGGCATATATTTTTTAAGATTTATTTTTTTAAGTATTCTCTACACCCAACGTAGGGCTCAAACTTACAGCCCCAAGATCAAGAGTCACATGCTCCTCCGACTGAGTGAGCCAGATGCCCCTTTAAGGGCATATTTTGAATGTCACATACTTTTTGCTCATTTCCATCCCATTGGTCAGAATGTATTACGTGAACACACCTAGCTGTGAAGGAAGCTGAAAAATAGTCTTTATATCTGACCAAATGCCCAAGTGAAGAGACCAAAGAAGGAAGAAAGCAATGGATACTGGGGAAACATGCAGCTGGTCCTGCCATAGGGCTCACAGCTGGATTTGTTTCTTCAGGTGAAAGGTCCAGTCTTTGCCAGTTTTTTTTTTTTAAAGATATTATTTATTTATTTGACAGACAGAGATCACAAGTAGGCAGAGAGGCAGGCAGAGAGAGAGGAAGAAGCAGGCTCCCCGCTGAGCAGAGAGCCCGATGCGGGGCTCGATTCCAGGATCCTGGGATCATGACCTGAGCCGAAAGCAGAGGCTTTAACCCACTGAGCCACCCAGGCGCCCCTAGTTTTTTTAACCTGAGCCAGTAAAAAAACAAAAACGAAAAAACCCAGCCAGATTGATCTGACCTTGATTTTGTTTCCTTTTCACCTTCTTCTTTTGGGGGGGATGGGGGTGATATTTATTTTAGAGGTGGAGGAGGGGCGCAGAGAGATAGAATTTCAGGCAGACTCCCTGCTGAGCATGGAGCCTCAAGCAGGGCTGGCTCTCAGGACCCTGAGATCATGACTTGATCCAAAATCCAGAGTCGGTTGCTTAACCTACTGAGCCACCCAGGCGCCCTTCCCTTTGGGTTATCGCCTACCTAACGGTCCCGGTCCGCTGCAACATAAAGCAATCACCGGCGTAAAACCCGCGGTCCCCAGAGTCCCGGGAGTGTGCGCCGCTCGCTGACGAGGGGGTGGGAACATCTTGGGGCTGCAACCCCTGTCCCTGAGCTTGGACCTGGCTCAGCTCCGCTTCTCTGTCCGCAGAGGACATCCTGGGCGTGGAGGCTGCGCGGCCTTGGGAATTCGACCCCAGCCGCTCCTGCCGCACGGTGCTCTTCCCGCTGCTGACCTCCGGCTCCGCCTTCTGGCTGCTCAGGCTCTGGGAGCAGTGGGGGCCGGGGCGGGGCCCGGTGAGTGGCTACGTGCTGCTGGTGGGGCCCCGACTCCTCCTCACCGCCCTCTCCTTTGCCCTGGACGTGGCCGTGTACCACCTGGCCCCGCTGTGGGGGGCGGAGCGCTGGAACGCCCTGGTCCTGCTGTCCGGCTCCTACGTCACCCTGGTCTTCTACACGAGGACCTTCTCCAACGCCATCGAGGGACTGCTCTTTGCAGGGCTGCTGCTGGTGGTGTCCCCCCGGTTGGCTTGGAGCCCCATCCCTAGGAAGCCCGCCCCGGGCCCGTGGGGGCACAGCTGGCTGCTGGGGGGCATCGTGGCTGCTGGCTTCTTCAACCGGCCCACGTTTCTGGCCTTTGCTCTGGTCCCGCTCTTCCTCTGGAGCAGCCGCGGGGCCGCGCACCCCGGCTTCAAGTCGCTGGCGAAGGAAACGCTGGCGCTGCTCCCCGGAGCGAGCCTCGTGGCGGCGGTGTTCGTGGCTGTGGACAGCTGGTATTTCTCCAGTCCCTCTAGATCCAGCACCCTCGTTCTTACGCCTGCCAACTTCTTGTACTACAACCTGGATCCTCAGAACCTGGCGAGGCATGGCACACATTTGCGGCTCACTCACCTGGCGGTCAACGGTTTCCTGCTCTTTGGGACGCTGCATGCACAGGCCCTGCAGGCGGCGTGGCTACAGCTGCAAGCCTGCCGCCAGGCCTTTGCACAGATGGGCTTCCTGAGGGCTCTGGGGCATGGGTGCCTGCTCTCTGGCCCCAAGTCTTGCCTCCTGCTCCTCTACTTCACTCCTCTGGCCCTGCTTTCTGCCTTTAGCCACCAGGAGGCTCGGTTCCTGATCCCCCTCCTAGTCCCCCTCGTCCTGCTTTGTAGTCCACAGACCCAGCCTGTGCCCTGCAAGGGCCCCCTCGTCCTCTTCAATGTCCTGGGCGCCCTCTTCTTTGGCTGCTTGCACCAGGGGGGCCTAGTGCCCGGCCTGGGGCACCTGGAGCAGGTGGTTCATGCCCCCGCGCCCCCCAGCCTACCCACCCACTACACACTCCTCTTCACCCACACCTACATGCCCCCCAGGCACCTTCTCCACCTCCCAGGCTTGGGCTCGCCCGTGCAGGTGGTGGACCTGGCTGGGACTGAGGACTGGGTCCTGTGCCGAGCCCTGAACAACTTCACTAGGCAACCAGCCTGCCAGGTGGCTGGTGGGCCGTGGCTCTGCCGCCTCTTTGTGGTGACCCCAGGCACCGCCAGGCCTGCCATGGAGAAGTGCCACTTCCCTCTCAAGAGTGAGACGCTCCTGTTTCCCCACTTGACCCTGGAAGACCCACCAGCCCTGTCTTCTCTGCTGAGTGGGGCTTGGAGGAACCATCTCAGCCTTCACATCTTGGAACTGGGGGAGAAGCCTGGCAATGTGACCAAAAAGCCACCGCCCATGAGTCGGCCGTAGGTGAGGGCACCACTGCACCTTCTGTGTGGGTAGCTGGGCTGGAACAGAACCCTGATTCTCTTCCATTCCTTTCCCTTCCAGAAGTCCCACTCCTGCCTCTCCTGTGCATAGGCTTTGGCTGCTCTGCCTTCTGGGTAAGCTGGTACCCTTCTCCCCTTAAAGACCAAAGATCTGACCAGTCACAATCCTGACACCAAGTTCCCCAAAGAACCTGGTGTAACCAATGTCTGGTGAACAGCCTCACCAGGTCTGTTCCTGCCCTATTCCTTCTAGCCACTGTGATATTTTGATATGTAATAGCACCTGGTTATGAAAAGACAGAGATCTGCGTGCAGATGGCATTCCTCTCTCAAACCTTCCAGGATGCCTTATCTCTTCCTGTCGGGATAACCCTCCGGCTTCCTAGATCACCAGGAAGGAGGCAGTGGTGATGTAGAGAGCAGGCAATTCAGATTCCAGAGACACGATTTCTAGTCCCTGGTCTACTTACCACTGTCTGGCTGTGTGATCTTAAGAAAGCCCCTTCCCCTCACCTAGCCTCAGTTGCCAATCTGTACAGTGGATAAAAGTGTCTCTGAGGTGTCTGCCAGCTAACGCTGTGTCATGCCTTGGTCTGCAGTGCATGTCCCCCATCTAAACAAGCATATCTGTCCCAAAGCTCTCTTAAGCAGCCCTGGTGTGGCGGTGTATTTAATGGCACTCTGGAGCCTGCTGGCTCTGCGTGGGGTTATTACCAAAACAAGTAGTTCTAGAATTGCTCTCCTCACTCTCTTCTACTCCTGTCCCTGAGGGAGGGGGTAGGACCTTTCTGCATCTCACCCTTTAAGGATCATTCTCCCGGATTGGGGAGCCCAGATGTTCCCCGTCCTCAGCCTGCCCGAGTGGGAATGGAGGATTAGTAGCTGTCTCCACTTGGGAGCTCTCTGGTGCTCCCAGAGACTTCTTAAATGCAGTCTGGTTGCTCACTAAGCTCAAAGCCCCCATCAGAAAGCACTTCACAGGATAGAGAGCAAACCCCATGCCATGTGGGTGATGAAAGCTATCATCACAGCTCCAGGCACGGGCGCCCCCTCTAAGGGCACCCCTACCAATCCACTGGGAACGTGAGGAGCTGCGGCACTCACCCTGTCCTCATTCTCCCTCCTCAAATCTCTACCACCTCCTGAAAATAAGAGGCACCCAGGCCACAGAAATCATTGAGCTGTAAATCAATACAGAGCTGGAGACCAAACCAACACTAATGACCAAGCCTGAGCATTCTTCTAGTCCTGCCTTCTGCTGGCTAAGGTTTGGGGCAGCCCAAAGCAGCGGCCCTCCCAGTCACGCTGTTCCGTGGCTGCTGCTTGTTCTTGGTGCCACACGCTCCTCCTGACTCCAACCCCAAGGACAGGCAGGGTCACTGATATGCTGGCAAATGTTTAACAACCATTCTCTGGGGGCACAAAAGCCCCCATGTGGAGCATCTGCCGATTTCCGTGGCATAAATACTCCCACCTTGACTGATTTCAAACTACCACAATGATGCTACTGAACTCCAAGTTGAGAGGAGATGCCAGTAGACCTTGGCTCCAGCAAACTACTGGGCTTTTCCCTCTTTTAAATTCTGTAGTAATTGCTCTTGTGGTTTATGTTTCTATGAACCTCTCATTTGTCTTCCTATCCCTAGTGCTTAGTGTCATCTCTGGCACACAAGAAACACTTTCCTCTTTTCTTTGCAGCCAAAGATGGCTTTTCTGCCCAAGTGCCATCTTGGAGACACCTGACTCCAGGGTCCCAAACTCCTCCCCCAGTTGGATCCACAATCTCAGAATTTCCTGGAGGAATTCCAGGGAATTGGTTGTAACAGTCTGTGTAGATTGTTGATGGTCTGACTTCTAATAAATTTGTCCATAAAGCGTTTATATCTAAGTCCATGCAGCATCAAGGGAGGAATCAGAATTGCCCTGCAAGATAGCAGGATGAGTTGCTTCCCTGCTTCACTCTCTAGCAGAATTTAGAAAAGCTTGAAAAGCATGCTGGGAGATTGCCACCAGGGGTGGTAGGAAGAATCTGATGTTTCTTTAGTAATAGGGTCATGGGTGGGATGGCAAGCCGGTGACTACAATCACTGGAGTCTCCTCCAGTGAAGCAGAAGGCATCCGAAATCACCTGCAGCTGGACCAGAAAGGACCCAGTTTTCTCTCTCTGCTCCAACTCCCTCTACAAAAACAGAGAGAACTTAGTTCTTACCCACTTCCATGAGAAATAAACACAGCCCCCTTCTCTTGCTTTCTCTCTTTTCTTACCAAAATGACCAGTTTGTCTAGCAGCTTCATTGCTTCCTGCCCTGCTTCCCTTTTTGTCCCTGCCAGTCTGGAAAAAGACCTCCCAGTGAGTGTGCTTGCCTGTGCTGAGGGTAGGGAGTCGGGCTGGGGACAGCTAATACTCTGCTGCTGAGATCCAGAGACAAATGAGTGGAATTAAGACCAGCGTGGCAGGAAGGCCAGAGAAGGAACAAGCTCCCCAGGCTCCTCACTGCCAGCCTCAAAGGAGGATCCAGAGTTGCCTCTGATCTGGGATGAGGATTTGTTCTTTAATAGGATTGGGGGGTACGGAGAGGATGCCAAACCAAGACTTTGGTCATTAGGAGAGTGGGACTCCAGGCCTCAGGATTAAACAGCAGCACCTCCAATGGGATGACCAGGATATCAAGTCAGAAGTATGAACATTTAGAATGTTACTTTAACTTCTCCATTCCCACAGCAGGTCTCTCCACCCCTATCCAGCTCTTTCTCTGTACCTATCAGAAAGGCCAGGATATAAATTCTGGTTGGTCACCAGCCTAGAAGCATCTCCTGTGGCTTCAAGCTTTCTAGATTGCATGATTAACTAAAGGGCAATCAGAAATTCGGTCAGAGGCCTCAAATGACCAGGCATTTCTGTATACCACGGATTTTCCACTCATGGTTCCAACAGCTGTCTTGATTGTATCCCAGACCCTCTAAAACTGGAGACAGGAATCCAAGTAGCTTGTTCCATAATAGGCAGTTCTGACGCCCAGTGGTGATAATGGAGGTCGGGGAGGTGAAGGCAGGCACTGAAGGTCACAAATAAAAGGCTCAGAGACTTGCGGTTAAGGACTTAGGCCCTAGAATCAAACATCCCAACTCTGTAAGGATGCAGCCCACTTCCTCCTATGAAAGTGGCTGTAAGAAGTGCGATTACCCACACGGACTGCAATTACCAAGTGCCAGCACAGAACAAACACTCAAAATGTGTGAACTAGTATTACCATGGGCCTATAGTCCCCATGACCCCTAACCCATCTCGCGGGTTAAGTACCACGCTCACACCCATCACTCTGCTCACACATTTAATCAGAGGATTTTGGCAGCTGTGTCTTTCCATCCGTGCTCTCCTCTGGAAGTGGCGCACTGCTCTATCAGAGCAGAAGCAGCATCACTGAACACGAGTTTGAGTCCCACTCGCAGAGGGCACACGCCTCCGGCTGTGGTTCGGTTCACGGCTCTCCGTAAGTGGTGCACCAGGCTCCGGGCTTGGGGCGGGGGCTGGGTGTCATTTCTTCACGCCGTGCCCAGTCCGATCACAGGGCTTCACCGGGGATGTCGGTTTGGCCTGGGCTTTCTGATGAACGAGGCCTCTGAAGGCGAACAGTCTGATTCCGGATTCAAAGCCGTGCACTGCGCCCAGGATGACTGCTGAGCGCCGAGGCCTGTGTCGAGCCCAGAAGGGAAAGCCGGAGACCCTGGCACGGCCCAGCCTGGGTTTAGGGGTTAGCGCCCGGGCCCCTCTGGTTACCTGGCGGTGACCCCGGGCGTTCCCGGAGGCCGCGGCGCAGCTCCTCAGCGAAGGTGTCCCTGAAGCGGGCAGCGCGGCGACCTAGGGAGCCCGCGGGCCCAGCCGCGAGGGCTCGAAGACGCCGGGCTGCGTCCTGGCCGCGCAGCTGGGCCTGCATCAGCGCGAAGGCCGTGAGCTGCGCCGCACGCCGGATGGGCTTAGACTCGGACAGACGCTCCACCAGCTGCGGGCTGTGCAGCAGGGCGGCCAAGAGCCGCCGAAGCACCATCCTCAGAGCGACCCGGAATCCGGAGCACGCCGCTCTCGCTTCCGACGGGCGACAAATAAAGACGGACCCCGTCTGCGCCCGCGCCGCCCGCTGACGACACTGCTGCGCGGGGATTGGTTGACAGGATGCTTACGTTTTGCATCCGCTTCCCGCGTTTCCGCTTCCGCCACCGCCGCGGCAGTCTCGTTGTGAGTGGAGTGGCGGCGTTTTCGTCCACCTCTCTGCACTATGTCCGGCGGCCTTTTGAAGGCGCTGCGCAGCGACTCCTACGTGGAGCTGAGCCAGTACCGGGACCAGCACTTCCGGGTGAGGGAGGCCGGGCCGCGAGAAGGGAAGGCCCAGGGCCAGAACGCTGAGAATCGGCTTGCTCTTTTCTCATTGTGTCGTTTTCCGTTCTTTGGTTTCCCGAAACGCGAAGTGAGGCCCCGGTGCCTGCTGGGGAACGGAGCTGCAAGGGCGTTTGGATACCACTGAATCCCCTTATCTCATAGAGCACTTGAGGCTCGCTGCCCCATTCCCTTGCAGCTTCTGCCTTTCCCAGGCCAGTGCAGAGGGATTCCCGTGGCGGTAGTAACGGCGGCTTGAATTTGCACAGCCTTTCCTCGGGAAGGTGACTTTGTGATATGAGGGGCAGGGGTGTCCTTTGACAACTGGAGTACGGGGAAGGGGGGCGTTTTCCTGAACCACATCCTCTTTATAACTTTTTAGTTTTAATTTAGCTCAGTCCTGTGGCGCGTGGAACCCTTCCCTTCCTTGGTATCGTAGAACGGTCGTACCAAGTTCTACGCGGTAGCTGGGAGACACAAAGTTGAGCCTTGTCTCCAACCAGAGAGAATCCTCACAGTGGGCAGGGAGAGACTGTCCAAGCTAGGCACTTTAAGAGTCTAGGTGTCAAGCTTAGAGAACTCGGTTTCAGAAGAGAGGTTTTAGTTTGGTCTATGTCATTGTGTATATTATGGGAAAAGGGAAGGCGGCAGATACTTGAGGTGGGCTGCTCAGCCTCAACAAAGGCGGGGACGAGGTGGTGCGACACTGGTCAACCACTGATTATTAGGTAACTTTTATTGAGGGCTGTTGCTTAAACCTATTAAGTCCTAGAGGGAGAGGGAAGACAGTGTCCGCACCCGAAGAGTTTATAATTTTCCAGTAGGGATTGTAAATGCCAGCAAGTAATCATAATCTAGAGCAGAAATGGTGAGGGGAAAGGGAATCTTATGAGGATTCAGAAAAGGGAGGCGGCGGGTGAAAGGAAAGGAGGGACACGTTTAGAAGAGGGTGGGCGTGGAGGGTGCAGCGTTGTTAGCGGGGTGGGGAAAAGGAAATTCTGTTTGAGGCCAAAGTGAGGAAGGCCTGAAATTCATTCACTAAGGCAGCCGTTTTTAAATGCTGCCAAGCAAGGTTTTCACTTCTATCTCTTACAGTTCTGAAGTTCCACATCACCATCTTGAATTTCAGGCATCCTATGAGAGTAAAAGTGTGAAAGGTTTCAACTTGTTTTGTTACTCATCTGTTCAGTCTAAGGCTTGTAGCTTTATTTAGATAGTAGTAAGATACTGTCATGAGGAACTTCTAGAGTTCCCTGAATGGAATCCAGCTTAATATACCTTTAAGTAAGGACTTACATCACAGTTGTCTTAAACTATAGGCTGTTTGTTTAGATTACTTACATATGTGAGAGGAGTGGAAAGAAAAAAAGGAAGGCCTCCTGGGTAATTTCAATAAATCTTTTAACAGCAGTGATATAAATAAGGTGAATCTACTTTATGTAATGCCTCATTCCAAAGTTCTGAAAACTTGTTTTTAATGTAGAATGACTTTACCCAGTGGACTTTTCTTTTTTTTTTTTTTTTTTAATTTGTCAGAGAGATCACAAGTAGGCAGAGAGGCAGGCAGAGACAGAGGGAGAAGCAGGTTCCCTGCCGAGCAAGGAGCCCGATATGGGACTCGATCCCAGGACACTGGGATTATGACCTGAGCCGAAGGCAGCCGCTTAACCAACTGAGCCACCCAGGCGTCCCTACCCAGTGGACTTTTAAAGAAAGTATGAGATTGGGCATAAGACTGGGTTTGGGGGTGGTGGCGGAGACTGGGTTTGGATTCCACCTGCAACTACTGAGTAGCTGTCTGACCTTGAACAAGTTACTTAACTGTCAAGTGTAAAATAAGGCTAATAAATTAGGACCTACTTCATTCACTTTTGAGAATTAAATGCAACTTCTTACATGGAAATCTCTGACCTGTGACCCCTTGATTCACCCTAGAGGAACATGTACCTATTTCTGTGTATGAGACCTTTTATATTTGTACTTTTAAAAAATGTGTATTTTGGAGCATACCCTTCATGTTGTTCTCACTGTGGTCATCACTATCTGAGAGATGTTACTTATAACTGCATGTGCATATACATTTTTCTTGGGGCTGCATAGTTTTATATTTATTGATGTACCATAATTTATCATTTTCCTTTTGATGTGATTTCCTTTAGAAAGGAGACCTGTTAGGCTCAGCTCTATGCTACAAAGCTTTCAGAGACAAGTAATGCAAAGTCTTGTTCTCGGAGTGAAGGAAACTGGATCAGAATTATATATCGAGTAGTAAATGAACAAGGGAGGTCTCTTGAAAATGCTCTAGGGGCCTGAGTGTAGATCTGTTCAGCTACTTTCCAAACTGGAATACTACTGTACAGGTTAGAGTCTTAACCTGAGAGTCTGAGAGCAGGTCAGTGGATAGGCCTTTTTAGTTATTAGCATTTGTCCTCCCCAATGTGGAGGTCAGAAGAGAAGGTGAGAGGACACGACCACCTGGTTTCTCTGCAGGTGTGTAAAATACCGTACCTAGCCCATGAGGAGCCCCAGGGATTATCAGCTGGGTTGGCCAAAGTGCAGTTATATTCTTGTCTCTGGCTTCATCCTGTCTTCCAAATTAGGAAGCCTGTCAAGAACCTAAATTCTCGGGCGCCTGGATGGCTCAGTCGGTTAAGTGTCTGCCTTCAGCTCAGGTCGTGATCCCAGGGTCCTGGGATTGAGCCCCACATCAGGCTCCCTGCTCGGCAGGAAGCCTGCTTCTGCCTCTCCCACTCCCTCTGTTTCTGTTCCCTCTCTGGCTGTGTCTCTCTGTGTCAAATAGATAAAATCTTAAAAAAAAAAAAAAAAAAAAGGAAAGCTCTTGTTTTTAGTGATCACTACCTTTTCTCCTAAACTCAGAAAAATATCTGAGCATGTAAACCATCTAAGCAGTTGTTTTAAACATTTTCTATGGGAATATTATAGGGGATACCCTATCTCTGAAAATCCATTTATTTTCACTACAAAAAAAGCCTCTCTAGTATATTGCTTCAAGGTCCGGAAGTTAAATTCAAGCAATGGGAGGTGCCAGTGCTGAGGGTGTGGAGCTTGCAGAGAAGGCAGGCCATTTGCATGGCCGTCCAGCCCAGGAGGAAGGTCACATGCTTGACTCTTAAGCGGTGACTGTGTCCCGAAAACAGGCTGGACCTCCAGAAGGGCGTCTTAGAATGTGAATGCCTGTCTCTGACTCTCTCTTTGGCAAGGGATTTGTGGTAGACTGGGATGATGACAGAAGCTGATTCCCAAATTAGAATTAATGAGTTTTTTGCCATACTTGGGCATACTATTTAAGCAGGACTCTTCTTGGATTGTGTTGCCTAACTTTTTCGCTCTTTGACATTCCAGGGTGACAATGAAGAACAGGAAAAATTACTGAAGAAGAGCTGTACGTTGTATGTTGGAAATCTTTCCTTTTACACAACTGAAGAACAGATCTATGAACTCTTCAGCAAAAGTGGTGACATAAAGAAAATCATTATGGGCCTGGATAAGATGAAGAAAACAGCATGTGGGTTCTGCTTTGTGGAGTATCCTTCCTGTGTGTCTGGCGTAGCTATTGGGTGAGGGTGGGGCCAAGAGTGGCTAGTTAAAAAAAAAAGAATGAGGCCATCCACTAATCAGCATCCCTGTACTTTACCTCTACCTCTCCTTCCTTCATCTACCTCTTACCTTCTGCCCAATGTGTCTACACTCCTGCATTGTGAAAGCTTCTGACTTTTATATTCTATTCTAAATATTTGTCTATTGATTTTTTAAGAAATAATCTTTTGAAAATAGATGCTCATGGTGTTTACAGAAGTACAAAGGGTACAGTGAAAATAAAATCTCTGTACTGTTCTAAACCCAGAGAGTTACTGGTCTCTTGGGTGGCTTTCCAGCAGTGATCCTGTGGATGTGTGGAGCCTACTGCATGCCCTGTTTTTTCCCCCACCTTCATGCACATAGGTCTACCTCTTTCTTAAGTGGCTGTGTAGTATTCTGTTATGTAGATGTATATAGCTTGATTTTATATAAAGTCAAAACCAAACTATTGTCTCCTTGGAAATTCAAATATTGGACCTCCTGGATTTTTTGCTTGGGTTTTTTTCTCCTAACATTTTCTTTTTTGGTCATTTTGTTTTATAATTCTGAGAAGTTTCCCAGACCTTGTCTAACATATTTTTAAAAATTTTGTGCCCCAAATTACCAGGGTAATTTTTTTTTTCTTTCTGGGGGGGTTGTGTTTATGCTGTAAATTTTCCTTAAATGTTTGGTGATCCTTGGGTTTCCAGGCATAATTACAGGAAAGAAGGCTAACTTTGTGGGCCCAAGCAGAGCTTTCTCAAGTTGTTGCCTCACCTTTGTTATATGTGGGTTTCCCAAATGCCAGAATGAAAAGAGATTCTATTTTGACTTAATAACCTCAAAGACACTGCCCTATAGGATTCTCTAGTTTGTTCAGAACTCTGTTATTCTACTTTTATTTGCCTGGGTTTAAATGCCTTCCTGCTAGCAGGTCATCTTCCCACATATAGACCTTTAATTAAACCCTGTTTGCTGTCTCCTTCTTTAAGCCCCTTCAAGAATATTTCAAACTGTGACTTTGTTTCATCCATTAGCACTCTTCCTTCATCTTTCTTGAACCTCTAGTTTGCTGATAACCTCTTCTGTTCTTTGGGTGTATGTATCTTTTCTGTCATTTTAATGGGGTCTCGAAAAGGGAATGAGGAATGTGCTCACTCTGTCAGCTTGAACTAGAAGCCCTACTTTCAGACCTATTCCACAATTTTTATTTTGGTGTCTGATTTCTGCAAGCTACTTCCATTCTCCCTTCAGACACAAGGGTCAAGAGTGCCCAGATTTTACATTTGCCTCAGGTGGCAATAGCATCAAAGTTCACAGGGTACAGGGAGAACAATGAGAACACACAAAGCAAAGAAAATCCACCTTGTGGGTAATATTCAGCCCCTGAGTACTGGAATGCTTTTGCATTTGTCTTGGGTGTCAGAGATCCACAATCATAACAGCAGATGATTACCAAGAGAAGCTGCCATTGCCAGTGTTTTTCCTCACTTTGCCCTTTTATCATGTCATTCATTCAGCAAAAAGTTACTGAATGCCCATTATGTGCTAGGCATCATGTAGGTGTTGGACACTGGGATTTTAGCAAGTGCTTCCCTGAGCCCAGCTAATGAGCGTAATTGCTTATGGGCTTTTTAAAAAATATCACCCCAGAGATAGATTGAGTGGATCTGATTAAATAGGTTTGGGAGCAACTAACCTGAGTGATAGGATACTGAGTCTTTCCTTCTAAGGAAATGCAATGGCAATTCCATGTGTACTGTTACCTCTTTTTATTAAGGTTGTATTTGCATTTGGAATTTACAGTTCCAAATTTGGATGCTTTTGTTTCCTTGGATAAGTGTGCAGTGTGTGCTCTAAACCTGCACTGAACATATTTATACTTTACAAACCAAAATATGGGGACAATGGGACCAAATAATCATCAGCATGATTTTCCAGGAAATCACGATCAGTAGCCTTGGATAAATCGTAGTGGACTCTGCAAGTGCTCCTGGACCAACCTCAAACAGGGATGTGCAAACCAAGTTACTGTCTCTGAAATCCATCTGGTTAGATTTGTTTTTGTATTCCTTCTTAACAACTCAGTTTCATTTAGATGTGGTTTCCTGTATTTCCAAAAATGTTTGGAGAAATGCTATACAGTGTTCCTTAATACTTACAACTTAAGATACTATTCAAGAGCAGATGCGGAAAATGCCATGAGGTACATAAATGGAACTCGTCTGGATGACCGGATCATTCGCACAGACTGGGACGCAGGCTTTAAAGAGGGCAGGCAGTATGGCCGTGGGCGATCTGGGGGCCAGGTATGCAGGAAGGTTCGCTTGGCTCAGTCTTTCCCTGGTAGTCCATTCCTAGTGTCAAGGGCTTTGTCAGTTTATGTTTGTTCTTTTAGAAAATAATTTTGTGCCTTCAATCTTGGCCTGAAGTGAATCTGAAAACTACACATTAGGATTGGTAAATTATATTCTGTACATTTTCACAAGCCGCTTATTGGACTTCTGCCAGGGGCTATTTTGCACTTGTGAGGGTCTTAAACAAAAGGAGAATGCACTGAAATAAGTTTTAAGTTTCTGATTGTAAAATAGCCTAATTTAAGTACTTATTCTTTGGAATATACTACTTTTCAGTGCTGGTGAGTATGAGCATGATGTTTGGTTAAAAAACTAAAAAACAAAAAAACAACCAAAACCAAAAACATATTAGGTAGGGGCACCTGGCTGGCTCAGTTGGTAGAGCACGTGACTCTTGATTTTTGGGTCACGGGTTCAAGCCCCATGTTGGGCGTAGAGTTTTATTTATTAAGTAAGCAAACAAAACCAGTAGGTAATCTTAATTTTGCAAGGCAGTTGAGCTTTATATCCGTAGCTCAAGAAAATGTTATGTCCTGCTTGAATGTTCACATTATGGTACCTGAAAAGGCTAAATAGTTTGCTTGCTAGTATGTTTGTGGGAGGCGTATTCCTTATACCGGTCTTCTCTATAATGTAACTTGTATTCTTTTCAATTCAGGTACGAGATGAGTATCGGCAGGACTATGACGCTGGGAGAGGAGGCTATGGAAAACTGGCCCAAAACCAGTGAGTGGTGAGACCCCATCATGAAAACTCCTTTGGCCTGTTGAATTTGCCGTGCATTACCCAAGGTCTGCAAACCTGCCCACGTTTACCATGCTTTGATCAAGGTCTCTACTGAGCTGGAACCCTTTTCATGGTTTTCTTTTGAAAACTATTAAAGGACAGAATCCAAAGGAATGCCTTTATTCTGTAGTCTTAGGATCTTGGCCATATGTCAGGTGGCCAGAATGATTTTGTCACCGTTATCAAAATTTGTGTTCTGTGGCAGCAGATTTGTTCTGTCAGCCCAAAACACCACACTTCTTTTAGAAGATGGAAAATTTTTAAAAATTGATAATAGATTTATGGTCTTCATGGGGGCCTTAAAATTTTTAAGTTTGCAGGAAATAAAGTGTAATAAATGGGGTTTTGCTATTTTGTGTAACTTTGAATTAGTGAGATGTTTGACCGGAGTTTGTTTTCTGTGTTGAGTTCTGGTCTCTAAAGCCAAACTTAGAGGAGTCAAGGGAACTTCCTAGATTACTGATATAGAAGCAAGCCTTAAAGCACTGCCCTGGGGGACACTACTGGCGTGTATGCTTTATGTATTAAGACTTTACTAGCATTTACTGTACACATTTTCAAAAGATGTGTTCTACTTAAAGATTCATTTTCAGAACGATCTCAGGAATGGACTGGGTTTAAAAAAAAAAAGCTTGAAGATCAAGAGGACACTTACAAAGAACAATCTGAATTGCTTCCCACAGGAAATGTGTTTCAGCCAGTTTTCATTTGAAGTTTTTTTTCCCCCTAATTGTGCTTGCCGAGTTTCAGAGCCTGGATAGTGAGTGACCTGATAGTCTCTATAATGAAGGGAGTCTGTAAAATTTATTTTGCATTTAAAGGTACAAGGTGATTTCTCTAATATGTATGAACTACTGCTCATTAAACTGTTAGTCTAATATGATTTTCCCTTACTTAAGTGAAGTTTTTTCATCTAGCAACAGAGTATCTCGTAACTTCCACTAGAGTTGTTGAAAGTTGGTGTTGAAGTATCTCAGTGTGAACATCTTTCCCATTACAGTAAGTATAGGTTCTCACATTAAATTCAAGCTGATTATTTGGATTATTAAGAGCTATAACTAGTTGTAAGTGCTTAGGAAAGAACCATCTGCAGATGTTTAATGAGGACATATCATTTTGAAAATTTCTTTCACACTGTAGTTTGAATTAATGTATTTTATAATTTTGTAAAACATAACTCCGATTTCTACAGGCCTTAAAACCACAGACATTTGAATTGTCAAACCCAATTACCATTGTCTCTGCCTACATGTCACCTATAAAGAGTGACACTGGAACTCTTACTCTGTAATACTTAGGAGTAAGGTGAATTTGCATGTCTGTTTTGTGATTTGACAGGTACCTAATATGGTAACCACTAGTGATGCTTAGAGAACCCTGCCATCATTGCCGAAAATTCTGTTGGCAGTGTTATGGAAGGGTAGGCTGCTTAGGGCCTACACTGGTCACTGTTCATAAATGAGCCTTGTCATGACAAGAGCATGCCTTTGAAGTACATGTTATTCAAGAGAACACACATTTATAAAGGTATTTAGTTTATTTTTCAAAAAAATATTTTTGCTAGAAGGTTTGAGTAATTTTACATGATCACAATCTTTAAATAAATTCTTTTTCTGACCAAAAGGTACCATTTAAGTGAACAGCTTATCTAGGCCTGTTTTTTTAACACCCAAATACAATTAGCACTTCTCTGAAGATATATTCCCTAGACCTTAATTATCTATAGGCCAGGAGGCAGAGCCTCACACGTAATAAAAACAGGTGCTTCACAACTGCTGATTAGTTCGGTTTCTTAACATAATTAAACAGAGCAGGTAGTCAGTATATTCAGTTCACACTATTAACACGCCTGAAGGGTCTGATACACCCAGAGCACTCCCAGTCAGCACTTCTAATGCAGGGAAGCAGTGAACCAACTGCAGAGAAAAAGGGCAGCTCTGACTAGTGCTGGCTGTGTCCCAGTTAGGGCTGTTGTTCTGTTCCAGCTATGAATCCAGCGTGACCGGTGTCACTCATACTCAGTGATAAGTAGAAAATACAGCGCAAAACCAAAAAGTGATTTGGGGACTTTGGGCAGCAACTGCTGCTCTTCCCTTCCTTAGGTTCCCTTTCTTAAGAGAACGCAACTAAATGTTCAATTAAATCTATATTCATTGCTACAGATTTAATGTAAGGACAAATCACTGGAAAGAAAGAACTATAGTAAGTTTGTTGATGGACAGGACTGGGCACAGCTTGAAGGCACATCGTAAGCAGCTTTTAGTTTGTACAAGGCCTGCACTCAACCCCAAAAGCGTAAGGGCTGCCCACCTTGTGGGCACCCGAACAGTTCAGTGCCAAGCTAGTGACAATAAAACAATGCCTGCCTCTTCCACCAGCGGTCCAGACTACATTTCAAAAACGTCTTTGTTGCAAGGAAGAAATTATTGCAAACATCAGAACAAAGGCCCTTCTGATATGGGGCTTGGGCTAAATAGAGGTTCACACCTAATCATGAGAATAGGGGGAAAAAGCAACTATGTGTGCTAAAACCAAGGTCCATCAACAGAGAAACATTTTGAACCACATTCTTAAAAATATCTGACATTTAGGCAAAAGCATGCTGGTCAGTGCACCTCAAGGCGCCTTATTAAAGTGGAAGTAAAAGGGAAGCTGGCCTTGGACAGTTCACTTTAGTTACCTGTGTGCACCCTGCCTGCCTCAGCACCCAGAGGGTGACCATTTCTCAGACTGTAGGAAACGGCAATTCAAGTTTGGGACATGAAGATTCAGGATACAGTTTTGGTGTCTCTTCTACATACCTGGTTCTGTCAGTGAGGAGGTGAGCTGGAGCTCTGAAGTTGAAGATAGTGGGAGTCCACAGCCTAGTTATACTGGCTGCTTTGTGTAACTACTTCCCTGCCCCGCAAAAGTTAGGCAAATGTCTTACATGCAGATCTGAAAAAACTTCACATTTGCATAATTACGTTGGAAAACCTCAAGATGATATCCTCCCTGCTTAAACTGTCCTCTTTGTTAATGATGACATAACTCTAACTGTAGCAGCATAAAGTGCCTCTGATCGCAGTAAGAAATACTGAGTTGGTTTTACAGTAAGTCCAGAGGGCTCTGGAGAGTACAGGGGCTCTTTACAATGTAAACATTGGTGTTGGTGCTTGGAATGTCTGGGAGTGGGAACCCTGCGTGTAAACATATTCGTACCCTCGACTGCTGGCAACCTCACCTTCTGGCCAAGTTTAAACTGCCATGTTTCAGCTGCTTATTTTCAATAGTCACACCTAAACAGGCATAATGCCAAGTATCTTCTGTCATTTACTTGGTATTCTGTGTAAACTTCTGAGACTCTTACATACACCTTTGTGTTTTTTTCTGCCCCAGTTCAGAAAAGATAATTGGGTAATTTAACATGCATCCTTCCAGATTCCCTTTCCTTTCAAGTATCACAAAAGGCTAGAATAAAGATGCAAGATCCATTACTTTAATCCTACTACAGCTAAGCATAAGGACAGGGTCACTTCTGCTTTCCCCCAGTAGGCGAGGCTGATAGAAGTGAAAAAAAGACCCCAGCGCTGGAGTCTCAGGGTGGTCAGGAGAGGCCAGGTGAGGAGCCCTGCATGCTGCTGAGATGACCAGAGGGAAGAGCAAAACACATTATCTCCTGTGCTTCTCTGCAGTCCAGTCTTGTTACCCTTCCTCTTCTCTCCTCCCTACCCATCTGCAAAAGACCTGGTCAGTCTTTAGTTTTGAAGATTTGTATTTTAAACACCTTTGGGGAATAAAAGGTGTTTGGCAAATCTTAATTTCTTCCATATGGGAGACAACACAAGGATAACAGCTTGTACTCAGAAAGGCTGAATTCTCATGTGTTTGACCACCAGTTTAATGGATATTAACATTTTTAATAGGCCAAAACCAAAAATCCAGAGAATTCAGTGTTCCAGCCAAAGCCTTCATAAGACTTAGGCCTTTTTGTTATAATTCTTAAAGCCAAGATTGAAATTTCTCATGTCTTAACTGGACATCCAAAGTTGTCTTTTTCTCCCACCTCAATTAACTCCTCCCAAAGTAGGCACTGTGCTTTCTATGTGCCTCTCTAAACAGAACACACCAGTCAGGTTTTGGCCACTTCTCACCCTTCAAAAGGAATGCGACTCACTCGGCAAGACTCACTTGGGAGAGGGAAGTCAGTGAAAGGTGCAGCAGGTAAAAGGACTGGCTTTGTCAAAACCACCACTCCTAGCTACCCTTTACGCCCCAGGGAACAACTATCATTCTCAGAGTTACATTGAATTAAAAACATCCTGCACTTTTAGGTTCTGGGATTAAATTTTAAACCTGTATTCAGTTCACGTCTAACTAAGTTTCAAAAGCCGCACCAAATCTACTAGGCTTTTTTTTTTTTTTTTTTAATACTCTGCACTGCATGCTCTGTCTATATGCATGCGTTTGGATAATAAATATTAAATATGGGGGGAAACACACGGAACCCATAAAATTAAAAATGAAACCAAACTGAACATTAAAAAATAGTACACGGTAGCTAGAGAAATGAATAGGGCAAAAAAACAAATTTGAGGTAACAATAGTGGCCCAACACCACTGATCTGAAATATCTGTAAAAATTCAAATAAGTGTTTGGAGATTCAAGTAACAAACCATCTGCTTCAACTTGGTCAGACCTCCCAGAGTCCCTGCTGAGTTTCAGTCCATGAGCCGGCACTCACACAGCTCCTTGTAAATCCTCTTCCGCACTCGGGGCATGTCCTCTTGGGAAAACTGGAAAGGCTGCTCTAAGGCGAGGCACTTGCAGTACTGCAAAGGTCGCAGAAACACTTAAGTGGCATGTGGAGCTAGGAAGCAGCCCAGTGTATTTTCCCAGATGCAGACCTAATAGAATAAGGTCTAAGGCAGCATTTTAAAGTTTGGATGTAAAACACATT